TATAAATGGTAGACATGGATCATGAACAACCAACAATGAAAGATAATGATATTAGCATACATAACATGGGATGACAAGACTGTCAAGAAACTATATATAAGGTACGAGCTACCACGCTGCCATGAAAGACTATACAACAAAAATCAACCGACAAGGCATTCCAAACCATACATGAGTCGACACCTGTCTATGAGACTCTAAAGGAACATAAGTGATGCAACATTACCGGAACAGGGCCCCGACATACCCATAATGTCTATAACAAAAATGCATACCAAGACCACGGCAAGTCCGGAGAAGGGATCTCGCCAATAGCCGATGAACTGGGCAGCCTACTGTGGTGGGGGAGCTGCGTCTAGCCGTCTATCAGGACCTGCAGCATGACATGCGGCGTCCACAAATAAAAAGGACGTTAGTACGAATAAAGTATTGAGTATGTAAGGCAGGAAAGCATAAGTAAGAACAGTAATGTAAACAGGGACAGAGAATATACAACCTGTGACATCTGGGTACCTCTGAGGGCTACTGACATGAAATACATGATACATATATATATATACATAAACTTTTAAAACATACGCCTCTGTGGGCATCATTATCATCACATCGTACCCGACCATAATAGGCTCGGTAAAACGTACTCGGCCATCATAAGGCTCGGTAGAATCGTACCCGGCCACGTGGAGCTCGGTAAAACCCAACTGATCAGTGGTTGCACAATAGGTTCCGTACCCGGCTGACTATAGCGCAGCTCGGTAGAGTAAAATAGATACATATATATGATGCGTGCTGGACTTATTGGAATCACATTTTGAACCTTTCGGAGTAACGTAAGGTCGGTATCCTCCGTACACGTTATTAGGATTAACTCTTCATCAAGAATCTTATAAGAATAAGAAAGTACCAACAACATTGATAACATAAAAATAAGAGAAGTAACATCAACATCAATCATTCCATAAGAAGGGCAACAATGTAAGTACTGCTAGCTTCTAAGAGTAGAGTATATTTGGAAACTCGTTCATTACATTATGTACAATCAAAGTCGTGCAAATGAATGAAGGGGATAGCCTCACATACCTTGTATATACTGCCCAACCTCAAGCTATGCAAATGTCACGATTCCTTAGTCTACAATAAGAGAAATGACACTATTGTTATCGTTTAAGTGTTGTAACTATTATGTATCGACCGCAATCTATTTTATGATGAAACGGACAGAACCTCCCCTATTTATATGACTTCCCACAAGTCAAGACAATCACCAAACAGCCCAAACAACATTAACAATAATTATATTGAGCCTCCCAAAATAGTCCACCAACCAACAACATTACTACCAAGCCTTTCGATATATATATTTCACAAGTTCTAGCTTCAACGACTTAGCCGCAACTTGGATAATCTTAAATACATGTAGAGTAAGAGGTTCCTTACCTTTAAACAGAAAGAAAAACTCCAATTTGACCTTAATTGTCCACGAAATATCCCTCCAATGCTGCCACAAGAACAAGGAAGCGAAACTACCAATCAATTCAATTTTTTCGGCACTAGAATTACTTTAGAAGACTTGAAATCACCTAGGATTGATATTAAAAACTTGAGGGAGTATTTACAGAACATAAAACACTTAAAACAACCTCCCACATGAGCTGTAACAACACAAAAATCAGCAACAACAAGAAGAACAAGAAACTTACTAGCGCCACGGGATTCCCGACACTTGATTTGTGGTGTTTGCCCTTTGTATGGGTCTTGGATCATGAGAGAACCTTGAGAGAGTGTTTTTAAGGTTCTAAGGTCTGAATATACTGAAAAATAATGACTTAAAATGGGGTTGAGGCATCTTATATATATATATATATATATATTCATATGTCTTAAACCGCCTATGTGGGCCCCATAGAGAGTTGCTTGGCGCAGTCTCGTAAAAACGTAAATATCTCTCTATTCCGAGATCGTATCGACAAACGGTTAAATGCGTTGGAAACTAAATTCATAGATCTTCAATTTTGTGGGTAGATCACCCCATAATTCCAAGTACATTGGAAGAAAACCGTAGTAACATTTGACCTAAAGTTTAAGTAAAATTATAAACGTAAGTTGCGACAACTTTTGTCGACTTTTATTTTATAACTCGCTTGATTTCAAGACTTATGATACAAATATTATATGATTCAAATACATTAAAACATGACCTCTTGGGACAATTAAGCACCTCTAGTTTTACCCGAAAATACGGGTTACAACATCCTTGATTCGTTTAACTTCTAATACTTGTTAACCACTCTTATACACCCTTGTATCGTTTAAGAACAATAGGATTAACTTCTTATCATCTCAAAGATAATCTCTTCTCGGATTTATGTCGACTAACTTACGGCATTATCTAAGGTACGCGAATTTGGGTTGTAACATAGGCACTCCCAGATTTCGTAGTTTTAACACAGTCGCTTTAATCATACCTAGCTTAATTAAATTGTTTAAATTACGTATTTTAGAACCTATGTGCGTTTTTACCTTTTACCGCTTTTAATCATGGCGTTATGGATTTATCTTTGAAACGGATCACATGTGCGTAAATCTATTTTATTTGGGGCACTTAAAATCATGTCACACGTACGTGTACACAATTAATCACGCTTTATTAATTTGCTAAGATCGTTTCGCCAAAGTCGTGTGAACACGTACTTTGTTTAATTTTGGTAATCGTAATTATGTCATGCGAATGTGTACACAATCATGATAATTTGATTAATACGTGCCTAAAGCACACTAACGTATTTATGAGTTATTTTCCTAAAGCTAAAGTATTGTGCGAAGGTCTTGTGATTTTATGAAAATTGATTGTGGATAAAGAGTAAGATTAGCTATTGGATTTATTAGCAAGTTCAATTATCTGACTAAGCTAGAAGGATTCAGATGATCCATTGATCTATAAATAAATAAAAAATGGGCCAGCTTTTACTCATTTCTTCACAACCCAATTATTGAACCCAAAAGTATGAAAATCATCTGACCGCCAACACTATTCATTCGTGCCCACTTAATTCCCATTGACCTTAGCCCAATGCTTAGGTCCAAATTTTCTTATCCGATTTGAAATTCTTATCCAATAGTGCTACCCAATTATTTTTCTAATCTTCAACTAAATCCAGAACATAAGATCAATTAATAAATAGATTTATTATTTGGCCAACAATTCAACTACCACAGAAATTAATTGAACCTTAGAATTGAAAAGGATTAAACATGAAATAAAATATAAATATCATCTAAGCAAGTGGACGGATTATTTCAAACACATAGTAACAGGCTATTCATTCAATAATTTTATAAACACAAACTAAAGCATTACTAAAAGAATTGGAAAAGAAGATGAACCTCAAGTGATGATTTCTTTCTCTTTTTGTAGCTCGATCAAGCAGACAACATTGGTTCCAAAGTTTGCAAAAGAGAAACCAGCAAAGAATCTTAGACCGAAGCTCGATAGGGACCTCGACTTTGACTCAAAAACCTTGACATGACTCGGCAACTTTGAATGGGTTTGGGGTCGATTTTTATGGTGAAGGACGCAAGGATTGAAGTGATGATTTTAAAGGAGGGGGGAGGTCACAAACAGGACTGTTTAGGGACTGATTTTACGCCAGTTTTCATGGAGAGAAGCTGCTGGGTTTTTATTGGAGAAGAAGACTTGTGCAGCTTTTTCTTCCCTTAGGCTCCTAGGGTTCTCCCTAACATGAAGCTTATATGTAAGGTGCGGGAGTTAATATGAACCATTGAATTGTTAAGGATGGAAAGCTAAGATTAAAAGGGCCTGGTGGATTGGGTTGATGGGTCTTGGATTGTCCGAAATTTGGGCCTCAATTTGGGCTAAACAGATCAAGACATTTTTTGGACTATGACTCAAGAATTCTAAAAATAATAAAATACTACTACTATTAATTCATGCTAATTAAATAAGATTGTTCTAATTGCAAAAGTACTAAAATTATACATTGAGGTAACAAATAAGAGAATTTTTGTGTTTTTTTAATATTTTTTTATAGAAATTATATTAAGACAAAGATAGAGATAAATATGTTAAACCATAATAGATTTGAAATAATACTAATGACTTTAAGAAAAAATAAAAATGCATAATAGGATGAAACTATTTTTGTAGTTTTCAATTTTTATGCTTTAAACTAGAATTAAAATTAATAATAGAGTGAAATCCTATAGATATAAACTCAAAGAAATATTCTAAAAATACTAAAACTACTAAAAATAATTCTAATGTGCGGGTCAAAAATTACGCACTTACGGATATAACAACCCATGCAATATCTATAAATTTACATCAAATTTACGGAGGAGAGTTGCTTGTCCTTGAATGTGATTACTAATTTAATAGTAAACATTATTATTATTTCATTAAATTAGAAATGTTAACCTGATTTTTACATACGTATGCTGGAAATAGTACCCCTCCGTTTTAATTTAAAAGATATTTTTTTTTATTAGTCCGTTCTAAAAAGAATGATATATTTTTATATTTAAAAATAATTTAACTTTAAACTTTTTATTTTACTCACTTTATTATTAATAATAAGCTTTTATAACCATATAAATATTATGAACCCATAAATATTTTATTCCTTAAATTTTTAGAATCATATATTTCAAAAAATAAACTCCTTATCAAGTCAAACTATATAATCTAAATTGAAAGTTTGGGAGCAGGAATATTTGAAAGGAAAAGGGAAACGTTGGAAGAGGAGTGACGCCTAACTTAATAGCAGAGAGCACATGCATGGCAAGAGAAATTAGAGGAGTTAGAACGTAGAAGCGCGGGGCTTGACACGTAACAGCCAGGCGTCAATCGGGAAGCGATATATAGTGTCCTAGAATCCTGCACACTGCAGCCACCTGGAGGCTGGATCTGGTTCTTCTGTAGCTAATACCAAATTTAAGGGCACGCCGTCTCTATCTACTCACCAACTATATATATATCGTCTATCTCATTTAAGATAAACATATTTGTCTAGGTCAGAGCTATCCTCTCGCGCTCCTTATTTTGTTGCACTTTTCTTGTTGCATGCAGTTTACACTTCACCGTAATATCTGAGTTTTTTGCCCATATATAGCAGGCAGCTTCCCATATCCCCCCTTAATACTAATTAAGTAGTATCCGCCTCCGCCTGAGATATGGCTGACCTAAGAGGAAGTGCTGCTATTTGCGATGAAAGGTGTGGCTGTCCTTCTCCCTGCCCCGGTGGCATTGCTTGCAGGTATATTTTATACTACTCGATCGATCTCTAATAGGAATAGTTCTATTCACTCACTGATTGAAATATACTCCATATATATATATATGCAGGTGTGTGTCAGGGGGTGATGCGAACATGGAGCACAAGAGGTGCTCTTGTGGAGAACACTGTGGGTGCAATCCGTGCACATGTTCCAAGAGTGAGGGCACCACTGCCGCTACTGGCAAGGTTCAATGCAAGTGCGGCACTGGCTGCACCTGCGTCAAGTGTGCTGCTTAAACTAGCCTAATAATGATCACTTTGGCCTAGCTCCTAGTAGTTAGGATCCTTCCTGTACAAGTGCATGCATGCTTCCGGCTCTTGTTTGTTAGGAATTTCTTCTTCCTTACATAGATCTATGTATGGTGTGTGTACATATACATAGTACTGCCTCATCCATTAATAAAAATAAATAAATAAATAAGCATGCACTTCCGGGGATAGGATACCTGCTCCACCTCGCTCTACTAGTTTCTCGTGCGCCATGTAATTAAGCCAAATTAAGAATTCTGTGCGAATCAGAAGCGCAAAACAGGCTGTGCTTAGAAGGCCGTGTCTTAATTTGCGGACGACTAATGAGTGTTCATAGGTTCTCTTTTTGGGTACTACTAAAAAAATTTGTTTTTTTTGAAACTTTTGGTTATTTTTACGGTGGCAGTTTTCAAGATTCTTGCAGTACTACTAATAGTAAGTTAATTTGTTTATAGCGTAGGATACGCTATATATCTTTTTCCACTTCGTATATACATCAGCACTAGGATCTCAAGTTGTCAGTTTTTATAAGAAAGAAAAAATTTCCATTCTGTGCGCAAGGCTACCAGGTCGCATCATGATAACCCGTCAGTGGAGGTTGCATTATAGTCGTGTGTATATATATACTAGATAAAACAGGTTGAGCAGTGTGCTTATTTTTTTCAAGTGTTCCGGCGTCACCCAAATAGTGCTCCATCTCTAGCTATGAAATTGGATTATCATATCCAGTAGGGTTTTCATCCATCATATAAATAGTATGTATGATAGTACAATATATCTGCAAAAGAGGACGTAAAACACTCTAAAATGCTACTGCTATCCGGATAACCATAGGTAATGATTACAACTAAATACTATTGATGTAACAGCTACAAGAATATAGGAAATTTGTATTTTTAGCACAAACACATTTAACCCATTATTCCCTTTCGAGAATCAGCTACAGTGCCCATCTCAGTTGCCGCTCTCGTTATATCCGAAACACCCATCAGTAAATTTAGATATGTGATGAAGAAATACAGATATGAGAGCACTACTCTGAACTATTCAATCGTTAGTACACCAATAAATCACCGTCAGTAATTTGGACACAGTACAAACAAGAAAAGATAAAAGATAAACAGGTGCTTAGGTAAGTCAACTTTCAACTATCTAATTTTAATAATAATTATTAAAAAAAATTAAGTAAATAATTATCTTAACCTTATACATTCTCCTAGTACAAATCATGAGTTTTTAAAAATAGAGTATACAAAGCGAAAATAAAATAAATACATAATTTGTCTGAATAGTACATAAACAAAGCTTTTATAAAATTTAAGACTACCCTGAATAAGGGGCAGTTACATCAGGAACGCAGGTACATCTTTAAGTACCGCAACCATCGAGCACAGCAATAACAGTAGTCAATATCTGCACATTCGCTTATATATAAAATAAAGAGAAATTCAAAATAAGTTATATGCTCGTGACCCACAACAACTAATAGGGCCAACATTTTAGAACTACTATTTTGATTTTTGCAACTACATACTTTCCTGAAATAAGAAAGCCTGAAGGTGACTTAACTACTTTTTGTTCATTTTTTCTAGTCTGCCAGGCACGGGCTGGTATGTCCTTTCAGTTCTGGTCTGGAGAAGGCCGATCAAAGAAAGGACTCCTATACTGCCTGGTGTTGATTCGGCAATTTGCGTCTAGTGGGGAGCTTTGTGTAAAAGTGTAGTATTAGTACAACCGACCCCATGTACTGAGTAAGTAACAAACTTAGCCGTAGGTTGAAAGTAGTGACGAGCTTCTATCAAGGTCGGGTCCAAAACTAATAGTCCACAACAATCCATAACATAAAGCAAATAATATCATAAGTAACTCAGGGATAAAATACTCACCCAAATAATGATTTTAAAAAATAGTAGTTCTTTCTTTCAAATACATTAGTGAAAATTCAAATCGTTTGTCGAAGTTGCCAATAATATGAATAGTTTGAAAACAATAAATTTCTCCAAAAATCTTCTCAATAATAAATAATATGTTTCGTTTTCCTTCCGGATAACCCGTGTAAAATAAATGCATCACTATACCCATCTGTCAAAATGTGCGAGAAATCATGAATGATGTGATGTTGTACAGCATGAGGAAAAAAATACATCTCTATGCATGTATGTCATGTGTGCATGCAAATACGATGCAATTCAGTGATAAAATCATAAACAGTCCCTCGGGCAGAACATCACTCAAATACAGCCCCTCGGGCAGAACATCACTCAAATACAGCCCCTCGGGCAGAACATCACTCAAATACAGCCCCTCGGGCAAACCACACAGTCACTCGTGTCACTCGTGCATACCTCACAATCACTCTTGCCACTCAGGCATACCTCACAATCACTCTTGCCACTCGGGCATACCTCACAATCACTCATGCCTCCCAGTCACTCAGCACTCGGCACTCGCACTTAGTAGGTACCTGCGCTCACTAGGGGTGTGTACAGACTCCGAAGGGGCTCCTTCAGCCCAAGCGCTATAATCTGCACGGACAACTCACGTGCGATAATAATAAAGTATGCTGCAGGCAGGCAGCCCCGATCCACACGCATCCTCACAATCAGGCCCTCGGCCGATATCAAACATGTTGCGGCGTGCAGCCCGATCCCATAAATATGTAACATGCTGCGCCGTGCAGCCCGATCCCATAAATATGTAACATAAATCAAGCCCTCGGCCTCACTCAGTCATAAACCTCTCAAGCCACTCGGGCATTACAGTAAAACAGGGCATTCGGCCCAAAATATTTATATGCATCAAAATAGAGTCATAAAACTGAGTTATGATATGCAATGAAATTAATATGACTAAGTATGAATTTTTAATTTAACACAATAATTCACAGCAATATGACCTCTAAGGGTCCCTATAATACTGGCACATAGCCTCAACATAATTTTTAATATACTTTTCAGCTCAATTTATGTAACACATTAAACCGCATGGAAAGTGCCAAGATTATTTAACTATAAAATTCCACAGAAACAATAATGTCATAATTTTTATAGTGCATGCCCACACGCCCATCACCTAGCATGTGCGTCACCTCCCAAAATTCACAAAATACATATATTCAGGGTTCATACCCTCAACTCCAAGATTAGAAGAGTTACTTACCTCGAACAAGCCGAATCCAATGTCGAGCAAGCTAAACAATGCTCCAAAAATACCATAATGCGCGTATCAACTCCCGAACAGCTCGAATCTACCACTATTAATTTGATTCAGTCCACACAACTTAGAGGAAATAATTGCATATCAAAATGCTAATTTTTTCACAAAATTCGAAATTACGCCCCAAAAATCACATGTGGGGCCCACATCTCGAAATCCGAAGAAACTCACAAAATACGACAACCCATCCAATTACAAGTTCAACCATACTAATTTCACTCAAATCCGACTCCAAATCGGTATTCAAACTTGAAAAATTCGTTTTGTGACATTAGAGAAATTTCCTTCTAGTTCTCTTGAAGATTCAATAATCTTACACCAAAAATTAAAATTAATTCATGAAATATAATCACGAGGGAGTTAAGAACACTTATCCCAAGTTGTGTGGAAAATTTCCTCTCCAAAATCGCCCAAGCCGTGCTCCAAAATCCGAAAATGAGAAAAATTCTCGGAACCCTTGTTTTAAATACTGCCCAGGCATTTCCGCACCTGTGGTGCCTGGGCTCGCACCTGCGCATCCGCTTTGCGCACCAGGCCAGCCCCAGTCTGCATCTGCGCCAACACCTTCGCACCTGCGGCCTCGCAGATGCGGCAAATTCCTCGCACCTGCGAGCACTGCCCAGTCCCACTCTTGGTCGCTTCTGCGACTGATCTCGCGCACATGCGGCTTCGCACCTACGATCAAAAGCTTCACAGGTGCGATCACACCAGTAGGCAGTAGTTCCAGAAATGTTTCAAGTTGAATTTGATCTGTCAACCATCCGAAACTCACCCGAACCACTCGGGACCCCGTCCAAATACACCAAGTCCTAAAACACACCACGGACCTACTCGAGGCCTCAAATCACATCAAACAACCTCAAAAATACGAACTACACACGGATTCAAGCCTAATAAATTTTGAAATTTCCAAATTCTACAAACGACGCCGAAACCTATCAAATGACAAAAATGCTACACAAAACATGAAAGAACATAACCATTACGCAATCGATCATGCAATACCCAAATACTCATCACGCTCAAATTCCACTATAAAGCTCAAATAGAACCGCACCATCTGTGCACATAACCAATGAATCACAACTCCTTGTAACATAAAGGAGTAACTCACAGATCATCTCAAAATACGAATAAGCTCAACATCAACCGAATGACACATCCCTCAACAATAATAGTGTGGAGCCAATCATTCAGGCTCGGTGTAGAATACACATATTAATTGCGCCTACCAATGGACCGCCAAATCAACTCAGGTTACCCACAAATAGATAAAAATTCTTTCGAGAATCCGTAATGACTGAATCATAACACATTCTATCATCTGGCTAGCTCCACCCACAACTTCACAGTCCACAACCATGAAACAATCCGCTTTTGAGAACTCCCAATCTCCAAATCCATAGAACACGCGAATCACCATATTTGATTCCATCTCCACCGCCTGAATGTCTAACACCTCTCTCATACACGATCATCCCATGAGAAATACTTTAAAAATTCTTCCGTTCCACTTGACAAAATTTGAATATCAGCAGTCTATCAACCATGTGAGTACCGCAATACTAATTTATACATCCGTAAAACAAAAATACAATGCGCCTTCTGAAGTCCGCCCCCTTCTCATACAACACCAAGTAGTAATAGTATTCATCTAGACATCGAAAACTGTTCATGCCTCTAAGAATTTATGACCTCCCTTTCAAGGCTAAATCGTGACCTTGCACACGCCAACCTTAATCCCACACAACTCACCGCATCTATCATGCCATCATTTGAAGAAAAAAAATACGAGAACCTCATAATCATTTTGAGTCACAAGTAAAATACATATCTGATCAGCCAGAAGCCTTCCATTTGATCCAGTCCGGTATAAAATCACAATACTCAACATGCTCCTCAGGTCGGTAGGAAAATACCCGTCTCAAGCCGTGGTAGAAAACCTCGAGAATGCTTTGGAATCCATTTGCACATAATCAGGCCATCAGAGTTGAATCTCTCTAAATCAACCAAGCCATGCAGGTCGCCAAGCCCAGGTGTATTGGCACAAATCACCTGTAGAAAACCCCCACATCATAAGCACTCAAAGAACCGATCATATCCATTACCATACTGATCCAACCTACTACCAAATTGTCCTATTTCTCCAAGTCTCTTCCGAATTT